CAGTCTCACGAAATACATACTCGTTCACCACTTCTTCATAACCTGCATCCCTAAAGAGCTGAGCCAGGAATTCTGTAAGACAAGCAGATCAAAAATGCTTACATTCTTAAGAGAATTACATTTGCTTTGCAGTAGAAGAAAGAAGGCTGGAGGGTTGAGACTGATTTCTTTAATGTAATGAAAACTGCAATACTAAAATTTAAAGGGTTTGTTTTGGAAAGTAACACACTCCTACTCACCACTTTGCACCCAAATAGAAACTCCTAACTAAACAATTTAATCAGCAAAACTTAAGGACAACCTGGAGTATGCCCACCTTGCCATATATGAGTCCCTGAATCAAAAGTCTGAGTAAAAAGAAACAAAATTCCAAACTGGCTAGATTCATACAAAGTCTGCATATGCTCAATTTGTTTATATCAAGCACCTCATCTATTCTAACATGAGGGAGGAAAATCTGTGACCAGACTGGGGGAAAAAAATCACCTAATGGTGGTATACTCTAAGGAAAATTTAACCCAAATATACCACTGCATGTTAATAAAACAAATAGAATAAATGGCTATGTAGTAAAAATTAACGCTCTTAACCAAGAGCTTTTACTCCAGAGAATGTGCTCTGAAGCGCTGTAGATATTCCTCCATTTTTTCAATTATTTACAATTGGTTTAATCAGATTTCATGAATCAGAAACATTAAAACATTTTCATCTAACATTTTTATGATTTTGCAGTTTTAATCTTAATCACTCATTTTTTGTTTCATTTTAGAATTCAAAGGAATATTTCACTTCAAGAAATACAAGTGTTTGTAAATGACAAAGTTCAGGAAAGTAATTATCTTATGGTCCAGATTATTCAATAGGCTTAAAACTAATTTTCAAGATACCTAGTATAAGACCGAAATAATGTTTAGTGTTTGGATGTTTTTCTTATCAAAAATGACTTTCTAAAGACCTCCCCCTCGATAGCAAATTTGTATATTTAAAACAGATCCAATCACTTTCAGAGGAAAAGATTTTTTGCCTTTGGGACCTGGAAAGTAATCTCAAGGCATTATACTGTCCTACTTGCTGTATTTTTGACTGAACAAAGTAAAGACTCTGATTTGCCCTTGGTGGTACCCAGCACAGTTCCCACCGTGGCAGCCACATGGCATGTCGGAACCTGCTCGTTAGCCCAAGCTCACTAACGAAACACTGTCACCAGAGGTGGCTTGTGCCCTCACCACGGCCAGGAGCTGTGTCCATGACATCCTCCTAGGTGCTGGGTAAATAGTGTACGTCAGAGTTTATTCCAGGGTCTTGAGCATGTGAGCTAAGTAGAGCCGCCTCCACCCCCAATCAGCATTAGAGTAACAATGCAATCACATCAACAGAAATAAAGCCAGATTCCATTCATCTCACCATCAGTAAAAAAATACGATCTGGTTCCATCTTGCCTAACATAAAAGTTTTCTCCAAGTTTGCTGCCGGCTTTAAACCGAAGCATGGCATGATCGTAGAGCCCATAGTCACGAAACAAGACATTTTTGCCTGGTTTTAACACCTACAAAACAAAAATAGTCTCATATAACTCTGGGGCAGGCAGTCAAATAAAGCTTCCTGTTAAATTAAATCTGATTAATTTTCATATTAAAAATAAGTTACATTTGTGATCATCATGCGAAGGGGCCAGACTGTAACACTCCCTAACATGAAGGAAAATGACCTGCTAATCAAAGGCATAAGGACTTGACAGGCCCCACACAGAGGAGGGGTACTTCTTGGGTACTCACAAGAGCACTCTGGAAGGTCCAGTGTCATACAATTAAAATGCTAAAGACATTAAAGGAAACGCTCTTATCCTCATTCCAACATTTTATTAGCTGTCTCCTAGTACATGAGCCTGTAGTCAAACTATTTCATTAAAAAAAAATATCATTTTGGCTTTTTACTGATTCTGGCTGGTTTTCCTCATTCTGAGTCTCAGCTCAGTGCTGCAATTACGTACAGCTTGCCCACCATGCTAATAAACTGACAGCACTCCACAGTTCACCAGTTTCTCACTGGATCTTCATCTAATCCAAGGAAGGAAGGAGTGTGATTACTATCCTCATGTGAGATGAAGAAACTAACACCAGAAGTGGTAAGTGATTTGCCCACAATCACACATCGGCTACAAAGTGGTGGAGTCAGGACTCACTGTTAGATCAAAAGGCACCATACTATAGAGTAAGAGAGAATCAGAGACATTTGTTAGCCCCAGGGGGCAGAAGAGCCATTCCAATTGCACTCACACTACTGACAAGAAAAGAGAGCCTATGAGGGGAGGGGTAACTTGGAGCGTTCTTCCCACACTGTGCCGTGAGGAGTGGCTCCCAGGCCAGTGTAGCAGTGCAGGGAAAGGGATGGGTCAGGCCCAGGTGGGAGCTCTTACTAAGGCCTTTCAGAGAGACATGTCGCAGAGTAGATGTTTCAGAACTGCACAGATTATGACTACCAGGCCATGGGTCTAACTGCCTTAGAGAGCCAACAGCCATATGCTTTTCAGAATGAAATAAAAAGGTACGCACTGACACCTGTTTATGTGAAAATTCTTTCAAACTGCATTAACACTACCAGTAAGAGTGGACTTCAAAGGGGGCACTCATTTTATTCAATCTTTTTCTGACCTATCACATAGATAAGACTTTTAAGATATATGATATAATATTATCTATGTAACAGATTTTTTATGTAGTTTTATGTATTTATTTCCGCTTCTTGAAGGAATATGAAAGGCTGTCCACAGAACTTTCAAGTGTGCTGCAGATTTTCTCATTTAGTAAATTCTTATCAATACAAGCATGCATTTTAAGAGCCTCTTGGACAGAAACATTCTTCCTCAGAAATGTTAAGGTTGAAGATACAGATAATTGAGAAGGGAAAATTGTGAAAATTGTAGTTCATATGAGAAAGACTTATTCTCAATTTCAGAAGGAAGGCTGCATGGGACAGTGGAAAGAACACTCACTCGGGAATTTGGAAATCTTGATTCATATCCCAGTTCTTCCATTACCTACTTGAATGACCTTGAGCAAACATTTCATCCCTCTAAATGTGTTTTCTAATCTGTAAAATAATAATTATGATACTAATGCCTCCTTTGATCATGGCATTGTACAGTTAACCAGGCATTGCTTGACATAATGTCCTATCATTCCTCCAACTCTGAGAAGTGGGTAGGTTAGGTAGTAGGGCTTATACGTAGTAGGGCTCGGAGTAAAAGTGACTTGCCTGAGGTTTCAAGATAAGCTGGTGGTAAAGGCTAGACCAAAATCCAGGTCTTCAGATGATAAATTTGGTCTATTTTTAGTTCATCATTCTACTCCAAAAATGAGGGAATTCAACATTAAGATTGCCTTTCAGTTTTAAATGATGTCGTTTTTAAATTTCTCTGGTGTTAACACCCAAGAGTAACCAGATCTACCTTAAAACAGCTTATTATTGTGGTTGTTCATGCAAAGTTCCATAGCTGACCAAAGGGTTTCTTGTCAGAGGCTGACAGATTGTTTCTCCTTCTGATAATTTTCCGATAAAGCACAATTTCAAATTTACAAACCAATCATTATGTATGACAGCAGAGAGAAAGCAATCACTCTACTGCTGTGAACTTATTCCAGGTCAGATGAAAAAAGATTTCTACTTGGGGATAAATATAGGATTGCTGAAATGGAATTTGTTACAAAAAAAAGGTTACAATAGGGGCCAGGAATACACTGGCAGAGCTCAATTTTTTTTTATGTTAACATTTCACTACAACTAAAATATAGATAACATATATTCCCACTTAGATTAACAGGCATATCCTCATCAATACCTGGCTTTGTCAGACTTAATTTTGTTAATCTAATGATGTCTCACTATGGTTTTATTTCACATTTCCTGGGTTATTGAGGTTATCTTTCAATAAGTTAACTCACTGTTTGTTCTCCTCTATAAAATGACTATTCATGTATGCCCATTTTTTTTATTAATTTGTCCTTATTATTACACAGGAATTCCTTATATATTCTGGATACTAATCTTCTGTCAGATGTATAGATATTAAATTACATTTCCCAAGTTATCTTTTTAATTTCTTTGTATTGGCTTTCCAAGAAGAGAAACTCCCAGTTTTATTATGATCATCTTTATGCTCAGACTGCTTTGGATCTCCTCTGAGGAAACTCCCCTCACTCTTAGATCGTAAAGATTTCTCCTGTCCTTTCTTATGAAAGGTTTAAACTTTCGTCCTTTCCATTTAAGTCTTTAATTCACCTGAGAATGATTTTTGTATAAGAAGTAGGAATACAATTTCATTTTTTCCCCACATGGACCACGAGTGCAACCAGAATCACTTNGTAGAGGAGCAATGTTCTGGGCTTGAAGCTGGGATGGGGTTCACTGGTGAAGGTTGCTTAGGAAGAAGAACCCTGGAGTCAAAGTGGGGATCTTGGAGCTAGTCCTGTTTCTCTTAACAAACTGCTCTGAGGCTGAGCTTGACCCTTGCTCTGTGGGGCCAGTGAACCCCCTTAAAGGTCCATCTTCTTTATAAGTTGATTTCAAAGAAAAATCACTGCAAAGGACCAACTCTATACTATTCCTCATCAGTTTTGCTCTCACTAAGTACAGCCAGCTTCCAGCATACAAAAGGAGAAAATATATAAAGCAACACACCTGTGAGAGTTTAGGGTTCCTCTTACTTGCCCAGCCCCATAGACCCTCCGGAGAAGTCGGGGAACGATGGTAGAGTGAGAACACCCACCTAGCATGCCATGCTTTGTGAGCTTCTGCCCTCCTCTCCAGGAGCCCAGAAGACTTACTTTACTTGTACGTTAACGGCTATGATCATCCGGCCACCTCCCACTGGGATTCCTCCTCTTCAGATGTGGTTGGGAGCGAAGATGCCTAGCTTGTTGCATGAGCAGTTTTCAACATACTGAAGACAAATGTTCTCATAAGTAGCTTTCCACAAAAAGGGCTTACAGGATAAACTTTTGTTAGCAGGTCAAAAGAACTTTAATTTTATTTCATAAAGTAAAAGTCATTATATAGGAATGCTTGGTAAACAGGTCAGCAGGCCATTATTTAAGGTTTTCCCCATATTCTCCAACAAGACTAGCTCTGTAACTTTGGCCATGTCAGTCATTTACCTCCTAGCCACTGTTTCCTCATGTCCTAGTAGGAGCTGGGAAGTCCATCCGCTGCATTCCTGGAGAAGCTGCAGCGGAGAGATGAAGGTAGGTGGTGGCCTTCCTTCTTTCCTTGTGCAGTGTGGCCAGAGACTGGCCCAATTACAGAGAGTCTCAAAAGTAAGGCACAGGGCCTACAGTGAATTCTTGAGACATAGCAAGCAAAAGTGGCATTTGTGAAACACTGGTCTTAAAGAGATACATAAATGAGTATGAGTGGAGAAAAATGGGCACATATGAGACACTGGAAAAAAAACAAAAAACAATCCTTCGAGCTAAAAATACATATTGATGTGTTATTTAGTCTCATTTTTCTACAGGGTTGTCTGACATGCTGCCTAGAGGGATACTCAGAGATTCACAAGAGTAATGACAAGGATCTCTTTAAGTGCTAAGGGGCCTTACGTTTTCCTTCATGGAATTTTATAGTCAAGACGACATGGCTAAATTATGTTATACCATAAAACTTCCTTTACTTTTCAGGCCTTGCAAATTTTATTTACATTTCTTTAACAGACACACAACACTTGCTTCTCTTCAATATAAAAATTTTATATACTCATTTTAGAAAGTCAAAATATAAAAATATACAAGAGAGATTGTCTCTAAACTTTCCTCTACAAAGAGGAACATAAATATCAACCTCAAGACAGGTCAGGACTTGTGACCCAGGCCCAGTGTCAGAGGAGCTGGGTTCCTTGGAGACTTTTGGAATTTGCTCTGAAGGAAAACTCTAGGTACACACAGGCCTTCTTTTTTATTTACAGTCTCACGAAATACATACTCGTTCACCACTTCTTCATAACCTGCATCCCTAAAGAGCTGAGCCAGGAATTCTGTAAGACAAGCAGATCAAAAATGCTTACATTCTTAAGAGAATTACATTTGCTTTGCAGTAGAAGAAAGAAGGCTGGAGGGTTGAGACTGATTTCTTTAATGTAATGAAAACTGCAATACTAAAATTTAAAGGGTTTGTTTTGGAAAGTAACACACTCCTACTCACCACTTTGCACCCAAATAGAAACTCCTAACTAAACAATTTAATCAGCAAAACTTAAGGACAACCTGGAGTATGCCCACCTTGCCATATATGAGTCCCTGAATCAAAAGTCTGAGTAAAAAGAAACAAAATTCCAAACTGGCTAGATTCATACAAAGTCTGCATATGCTCAATTTGTTTATATCAAGCACCTCATCTATTCTAACATGAGGGAGGAAAATCTGTGACCAGACTGGGGGAAAAAAATCACCTAATGGTGGTATACTCTAAGGAAAATTTAACCCAAATATACCACTGCATGTTAATAAAACAAATAGAATAAATGGCTATGTAGTAAAAATTAACGCTCTTAACCAAGAGCTTTTACTCCAGAGAATGTGCTCTGAAGCGCTGTAGATATTCCTCCATTTTTTCAATTATTTACAATTGGTTTAATCAGATTTCATGAATCAGAAACATTAAAACATTTTCATCTAACATTTTTATGATTTTGCAGTTTTAATCTTAATCACTCATTTTTTGTTTCATTTTAGAATTCAAAGGAATATTTCACTTCAAGAAATACAAGTGTTTGTAAATGACAAAGTTCAGGAAAGTAATTATCTTATGGTCCAGATTATTCAATAGGCTTAAAACTAATTTTCAAGATACCTAGTATAAGACCGAAATAATGTTTAGTGTTTGGATGTTTTTCTTATCAAAAATGACTTTCTAAAGACCTCCCCCTCAATAGCAAATTTGTATATTTAAAACAGATCCAATCACTTTCAGAGGAAAAGATTTTTTGCCTTTGGGACCTGGAAAGTAATCTCAAGGCATTATACTGTCCTACTTGCTGTATTTTTGACTGAACAAAGTAAAGACTCTGATTTGCCCTTGGTGGTACCCAGCACAGTTCCCACCGTGGCAGCCACATGGCATGTCGGAACCTGCTCGTTAGCCCAAGCTCACTAACGAAACACTGTCACCAGAGGTGGCTTGTGCCCTCACCACGGCCAGGAGCTGTGTCCATGACATCCTCCTAGGTGCTGGGTAAATAGTGTACGTCAGAGTTTATTCCAGGGTCTTGAGCATGTGAGCTAAGTAGAGCCGCCTCCACCCCCAATCAGCATTAGAGTAACAATGCAATCACATCAACAGAAATAAAGCCAGATTCCATTCATCTCACCATCAGTAAAAAAATACGATCTGGTTCCATCTTGCCTAACATAAAAGTTTTCTCCAAGTTTGCTGCCGGCTTTAAACCGAAGCATGGCATGATCGTAGAGCCCATAGTCACGAAACAAGACATTTTTGCCTGGTTTTAACACCTACAAAACAAAAATAGTCTCATATAACTCTGGGGCAGGCAGTCAAATAAAGCTTCCTGTTAAATTAAATCTGATTAATTTTCATATTAAAAATAAGTTACATTTGTGATCATCATGCGAAGGGGCCAGACTGTAACACTCCCTAACATGAAGGAAAATGACCTGCTAATCAAAGGCATAAGGACTTGACAGGCCCCACACAGAGGAGGGGTACTTCTTGGGTACTCACAAGAGCACTCTGGAAGGTCCAGTGTCATACAATTAAAATGCTAAAGACATTAAAGGAAACGCTCTTATCCTCATTCCAACATTTTATTAGCTGTCTCCTAGTACATGAGCCTGTAGTCAAACTATTTCATTAAAAAAAAATATCATTTTGGCTTTTTACTGATTCTGGCTGGTTTTCCTCATTCTGAGTCTCAGCTCAGTGCTGCAATTACGTACAGCTTGCCCACCATGCTAATAAACTGACAGCACTCCACAGTTCACCAGTTTCTCACTGGATCTTCATCTAATCCAAGGAAGGAAGGAGTGTGATTACTATCCTCATGTGAGATGAAGAAACTAACACCAGAAGTGGTAAGTGATTTGCCCACAATCACACATCGGCTACAAAGTGGTGGAGTCAGGACTCACTGTTAGATCAAAAGGCACCATACTATAGAGTAAGAGAGAATCAGAGACATTTGTTAGCCCCAGGGGGCAGAAGAGCCATTCCAATTGCACTCACACTACTGACAAGAAAAGAGAGCCTATGAGGGGAGGGGTAACTTGGAGCGTTCTTCCCACACTGTGCCGTGAGGAGTGGCTCCCAGGCCAGTGTAGCAGTGCAGGGAAAGGGATGGGTCAGGCCCAGGTGGGAGCTCTTACTAAGGCCTTTCAGAGAGACATGTCGCAGAGTAGATGTTTCAGAACTGCACAGATTATGACTACCAGGCCATGGGTCTAACTGCCTTAGAGAGCCAACAGCCATATGCTTTTCAGAATGAAATAAAAAGGTACGCACTGACACCTGTTTATGTGAAAATTCTTTCAAACTGCATTAACACTACCAGTAAGAGTGGACTTCAAAGGGGGCACTCATTTTATTCAATCTTTTTCTGACCTATCACATAGATAAGACTTTTAAGATATATGATATAATATTATCTATGTAACAGATTTTTTATGTAGTTTTATGTATTTATTTCCGCTTCTTGAAGGAATATGAAAGGCTGTCCACAGAACTTTCAAGTGTGCTGCAGATTTTCTCATTTAGTAAATTCTTATCAATACAAGCATGCATTTTAAGAGCCTCTTGGACAGAAACATTCTTCCTCAGAAATGTTAAGGTTGAAGATACAGATAATTGAGAAGGGAAAATTGTGAAAATTGTAGTTCATATGAGAAAGACTTATTCTCAATTTCAGAAGGAAGGCTGCATGGGACAGTGGAAAGAACACTCACTCGGGAATTTGGAAATCTTGATTCATATCCCAGTTCTTCCATTACCTACTTGAATGACCTTGAGCAAACATTTCATCCCTCTAAATGTGTTTTCTAATCTGTAAAATAATAATTATGATACTAATGCCTCCTTTGATCATGGCATTGTACAGTTAACCAGGCATTGCTTGACATAATGTCCTATCATTCCTCCAACTCTGAGAAGTGGGTAGGTTAGGTAGTAGGGCTTATACGTAGTAGGGCTCGGAGTAAAAGTGACTTGCCTGAGGTTTCAAGATAAGCTGGTGGTAAAGGCTAGACCAAAATCCAGGTCTTCAGATGATAAACTTGGTCTATTTTTAGTTCATCATTCTACTCCAAAAATGAGGGAATTCAACATTAAGATTGCCTTTCAGTTTTAAATGATGTCGTTTTTAAATTTCTCTGGTGTTAACACCCAAGAGTAACCAGATCTACCTTAAAACAGCTTATTATTGTGGTTGTTCATGCAAAGTTCCATAGCTGACCAAAGGGTTTCTTGTCAGAGGCTGACAGATTGTTTCTCCTTCTGATAATTTTCCGATAAAGCACAATTTCAAATTTACAAACCAATCATTATGTATGACAGCAGAGAGAAAGCAATCACTCTACTGCTGTGAACTTATTCCAGGTCAGATGAAAAAAGATTTCTACTTGGGGATAAATATAGGATTGCTGAAATGGAATTTGTTACAAAAAAAAGGTTACAATAGGGGCCAGGAATACACTGGCAGAGCTCAATTTTTTTTTATGTTAACATTTCACTACAACTAAAATATAGATAACATATATTCCCACTTAGATTAACAGGCATATCCTCATCAATACCTGGCTTTGTCAGACTTAATTTTGTTAATCTAATGATGTCTCACTATGGTTTTATTTCACATTTCCTGGGTTATTGAGGTTATCTTTCAATAAGTTAACTCACTGTTTGTTCTCCTCTATAAAATGACTATTCATGTATGCCCATTTTTTTTATTAATTTGTCCTTATTATTACACAGGAATTCCTTATATATTCTGGATACTAATCTTCTGTCAGATGTATAGATATTAAATTACATTTCCCAAGTTATCTTTTTAATTTCTTTGTATTGGCTTTCCAAGAAGAGAAACTCCCAGTTTTATTATGATCATCTTTATGCTCAGACTGCTTTGGATCTCCTCTGAGGAAACTCCCCTCACTCTTAGATCATAAAGATTTCTCCTGTCCTTTCTTATGAAAGGTTTAAACTTTCGTCCTTTCCATTTAAGTCTTTAATTCACCTGAGAATGATTTTTGTATAAGAAGTAGGAATACAATTTCATTTTTTCCCCACATGGACCACGAGTGCAACCAGAATCACTTATCACATATTTATTGATCATTTCTTTTCCCAGAAATCTTCAATGTCGCCTCTATATATCAAATTTCCATATATAAATGGATGTTTTTAAGTTACCACATTCCATTTTTCAATTTGTCCCTCTGCCAACACAATTCTGTCTTAATTATTGTAGCTATAATAAGTCTTTATATCAGGTAGAATATAAATCTTCCCAGCTCGTTCATCTTCAGGAGTGTTTTGACTCTGTTCTTTCATGTAAATTTGGAATCAGCTTGTCACTGTCCAAAAAAATAAAAAAAACCTCAAAAACAAAAGTAAAATAAAATATATAACATCAAGATGAAAAGATTGCAAAATGCATGTTAGTCTGTTTTTTTTAGTGTACAGTTCTGACATTAAGAACATTCATCTTATTCTTAAGCTTTTGTTAATTCTTTTAATTTTTTCTAATCAGACAATTATATTATCTGCAAATAAGTTCTGTTTACTTCTTGTCCTTAATTCTTTTTCTCTTTTAAAAATTTATTCTTTCTTCTTTTCTTCAGCTGACCAGGACCTCCACCTTAACACTGGACAGAAGTTTTGAGAGGGAGCACGCTCATCCCCATAAGGTTCCAGGATCTCCCTCACTCTGCCCTCTATCCTACTCCTCCCTAATCCCTGAAACCTTTCAGCAGTGAAATCACTGGCATCTGCAACTTCTTCTGAATGTTCCCTTCACATTCTTGTGCTAAGAGAAACCCAGTGTCCCCTGAGGACACTGCTTCCCTGGCAGCCTCTCACAGCTGTGTTCTCCCATTGCACTTGTGCCACCAGGCTTGGGACGGGGCTGACCGCTTCCTTGCTCCCCAGTGCTCCTTTCTGTGCACTCTCCTCTCTCCTCGTGAACGCCCTATCCCTGAATTGCCTGTCATCAATTATATCACCCACCATCCCTTATTGTTACATACTCCATTAGTTCCAGGGTCCTTTCCCTCCATTTTATGAGGAATGTAACTTCTGCTTTATTCCATTATCCTCAATACTACTGCATTCCACATTATGACCAATTGCAATGTACATGTGGATTATTCTTTGAAATACATGGGACCCTTAACGATCTGAGTTTCTCCCTTCCAAAAACCTTGTCCTCCACTCTACCTAATCCACTCACTCCCACAGTAATGTTCTAAAGTCTTATTAAACATGAAAAAGCATAACTCCTTCATACTCTCCATGTCATAGAAGTCACTCTCGGGTCACCCCTACCATCTTTTCTGCTCTCTCTGTAGTCTCGCTCTTTTATCTTTTGATTATTACTGGAACCCTCTTTCTTCCTTTAAATTTTTAGTTGACAATATTATATTAGTTTCAGGAATATAACATAGTGATTTGATGTTTATATACATTACAAAATGCTCTTCACAAAATGTAGTTGCCATCTTTCACCATAGTTATTACAGTATTTTTTACTATATTCGCTATGCTATACTTTCATCCCCACGACTAATTTATTTTATAGCTGGAAGTTTGTACCTCTTGCTCACATTCACATATTTCACCCATCTTCCCTCCCCATCCCCTTCCCCTCTAGCAACCACCAATTTGTCCTTGATGTTTATGACTCTGGTTCTAGGGAATGTTTTGTTTTGTTTTTAGATTCCCATGTAAATGAAATCATACAGCATTTGACTCTCTCTCCCTGGCTTATTTCACTTAGCATAATACCCTCTAGGTCCATCGATGTTGCAAACGTCAATATTTCATTTTTTTATAGTGGCTAAGTAATATGCCATTGTGTATATGTACCATATCTTCTTTAGACTATTCATCTAAATGTGGACATTTAGGGTGGTTCTTCAACCTTTCACCTAACAATGGACACTGGGCTGTTATAAATAACATTTATGCAATAAACAAAGGGGTGCATATATATTTCTGAAATAGTGTTTTTGTTTTCTTTAGGTAAATATCCAGAAATGGGATTACTGGAACATACGGTATTTCTATTTTTAGTTGTTTTAGGAACCTCAACACTGTTTTCCATAGTAGCTGCACCAATTTACATTCCAACCAACAGTGCACCAAGTGTTCCCCTTTCTCCATATCCTCACCAACACTTGTTATTTCTTGTCTTTTAGATAGTGGCCATTCTGACTGGTGTGAGGGGATATCTCATTGTGGTTTTGATTTGGCATCTCCCTGATGGTTAGTGATTTGGAGCATC